GCTCGTTACCTGCCTGCCTCAGGATAAAGAAACCATAAATCAGAATCAGTCAGCTCCTGGCTGATGGTTCATGCTGCCTTTGAGGGAGGGGGTCGCTCAGATTTTTTGTTTGCGTGGTTGCTTTCTTGCTTTTCTCATTGGTTTTAGCCCAGGAATTTTAACACAGAAGCCTAAAAGGTGATTTGGTAGGCAAAGAGCCAACGGAAGGGGCTTTGCCATCACTGTGGTCACCCAGGCCCTGCAGTGAGGGCACTGAATCTCCCTTCTCCTCAATGCTTGTTTTCCTCTGGTCACCTGTCAGCTACCTCCTGCCCCTGAGCTCCTTGCAGCCCTTCCCACCACCCGCCCACTCAGATGTGGCTGTTGTAAATATCTCAAGCGGGATTCATGGGTTTCAGATGCATGAAGCACTGCCGATGTAACAGAGAGCAGCACTCAGAGCTCGCCCTGCCCCAGACCCCCTCTGCCCCAGCATTCCCAGCTCTGGTTTGCAGCTCGCCCCAGCCCAAGCGTTCTCCTGTGAATCCCAGGGAAGCCAGCAGCGCTCTGCTGGCTCCAGCTGTGCCTGCTCTCTGCCAATCTGCACAGCAGAGTTTGGGTTTCACGCTTAGTTTCCATTGCTGGTTTATCCATGGGCAGTTCCCAGCCCAGCTGCAGGCACCGGCCGCCCTCTCCTGACAGGAGGAGCTGTGCTCCCTCCAAACCTGCCCTGAAATCCCATCCTCGCTTCCCTGCCTACAAACCCGGGGAAGGAACTCCACTGGTCAATGGAGACTCCTCAAAGAAGGACATTTTTTCCTAAAACCACACAAAGGGAATGGATAAAACAATTCACTGTGCCACAGCCCCTGGACCTTCCCTCTTGCAGAATTCCTGTGTGTGGAGCAGGAAAGCCGGGTCTGCCCGTGGGGATTTTCAGAGGCACAGCGAGCTCCAAGGCGCGGAGCTGCTCTCACTCTGTGCCCTCTGTCAGCATTCCTGCAGAAACCCCCGACAAGCTGGAAGCCTGCGCTGTGCCCTGGTGTGAAAGGCGGCAGCGGCTGCAAAATGAGGGCGAGCCCAGCTCAGCCATGGCACCTCAGACAGCTGAATGCCTCGGGGAGACGTGCTGGCTCTGTGCTCAGGACTCCTGACATCCTTCCAGAGCTGAGCCAGAAAGCAGCTGGCTCTGAGACACATCCCCACATCCCAGCACAGCCAGAAATGAACAGAATTGCACTAACCCATCAGCCCCTCTCTCCTTCTGAGAGCTAAGAATGCAAGCACTGGCTCCAAACGTTTTAGTTGGAAACACCAGAGCAGCCTGGGACTGTGTCAAATCTCTCATTTATCATTCTTAGGAGGTTTATTCAGTGCCCAACAGTCACTGAAGTTAATTTGTGAAATGAGTGTTTGAAGTGTAACCACAGCTGAAGACTTCTCAGGTTGTTACAAACTTCAGCATCTGTCCCATTTAAAAAGCAACACTTCCAAATATTCACGAGATCGGTGTTCAGAACCCCAAACTGTCCGTGGAGCTCCCCAGGCTGATCCCTTTGCACGTGTTCCCAATGGGAAGCGCTGATGGATCCGAGACTGCCTGGGGACAGCACACGAGGGACCCCGAGCCAGGCTGGGGAGGATGTGATGGGAATGGAGGGGGGAGATGACCCAGCCAGAACAGAGCCCACAGGCAGGAGGGCTCAACAAAACTTCCCTAATCCTTCACATGACCAAGCAGGGAGTTCCATTGCCTGCTTTCTGCATCCAGCCCAGGGAATGCTCCAATGAAATGTTACAGCCAGGTCAGCACCAGTGAGAAATCATAAATTACTATTTTTACATTACATATCTTAGAAACAGTAGGATGTATAACATTTGCTTAGTTGGTGATGGATAGGAAGAACAAATAATGTTTAGTTTATTGTTCAGAGACACTTGTACAAATTCAGGGATGCTGAATATTTTTTCCATGAAGTGAAGTTCATTTTTTAAAAAGGTTTTTTCAATTTAAGGTACTATTTGGGAGAAAAGTCAATAAACAAGAAGATATTAGTTTCCTGTTTTGTATTAATCCTCAGGCTATTTATTTTGTATCTCTGTAAAAAAAAAAAAGCAATGGTTTAAAGACATTTTAAGTTTTCAGAAGTTTATTCATCTAAGTTTATAGCACTAATGCTTAGCTCTGTAGCTTGTAGATAATTAAATTAACTGGGGCCAAATGGATTACAGCCCCTCATGCACTGCAAGCACTGGGGGGGTGCACTGGGGAAAATGGGGCTCAGGAAAGATCTGGCACCCACTGTGTGAGACACCAGCCTGTGGGAGCTGCTGTGGCACCATTAAAACTTTTTGCATGAAAGCATGTTTATTTTCCCTTTCTTATTTCAGGTTTTGCCTGTTGGGAACTGAGGGCAAAGGGAGGGTGAGAGGGCCACTGACTGTGGGTATGAACTGGAATAAAAGCATCCTGAGGCAGAACCCAGGAGAGAATAAACCACGATGAGACCCTAGACCTGCAAAGTGCCAGAAGGACTCAGAGGCAGCACAGGTGACACCATGCTGGTCCTCGCCTTGTGTCACACCAGCTCCCACCTGCCAGGGCCACCCCTCTCCCCAGCCAGGCTCTTCAGTTAAAGCCTTTGGCTCAATCAGCTTGGGAGGGAGCTGAGTGCAGCTCAGAAGCAGCACAGCTCCCTGGATGGAGCAAGGAGTAGAATTGTAAGCATGGCGTTCAAATTTGTTCCTGAAGACCCTGCCCACAGCTGGAAAAGAAGGGTCTCCAGGGTAACTTTCTTTCCAAGAGAAGCCAAAACACCACAGGAAAAAAAATTTATTAAATCCCTGTTTAAAAGAGCAGGGGCAACTCAAATGTGAACTCAAGTTGGTTTGGGTGGGTTTTATTTTTTTACAGAACTAATTCTCCCCTTTGTTTAATACAAATGCTTCCAAGTCCCTCCATGACCCTTCTCACTGGATACACGGCAGTTCAATGGACCAGGTAAACAATTGTGTCCCCAATGTCCCTTGTCAGGCCATTCTCAGTGACACAGACGTGCCTCTGGGCCAGGTCAATGTGGAAGATGGCTTGCTCCAGGATTGGAGATTTCCCTGCTTCCTCTTTGCCAAGCACTGGAACACGGCGGGGGCCAAGCACGGGATCATCAAACCTCATCAGCTTCACTTTGGAGAGATCTGCACAGAGAGAGCAGCTGGTCAGGCCCTGGGAGCCGCACACAGGCACAGCACCCACAGGGTTAACACCCACAGCAGTGCTGAACCCCTGGAACTTCCCACCTGCTCCAAGGAAACGTATTCTCCTGGGAATACCTGTCCTGCTAAGGTTTGCACCAATACAACAATGTCCTTCAGGTGTTACACAGCCAGTTACCAACAGAAATGGGGATAAACCACACAGAAACACCAGCTCCTAATACCACATCCCAAGCCCTGAACTTGCTTTATCTGGCTCAGGAAAGGTCTGAGTAGCTGAACAGTTATTCCTCATTTTCTGAGGAATGAACTGCAGAGACTGGGAGGAAGAGGAGGGTGAGAATTGATTTCAATACAATTTCCCATCAAAAGGCAGACTAATAAGACTGCTAAGCAGACCAGGAAGCCTGAGACCCTTCAGCTGGGCCTTCCTGCAAGTGCAGCCTCCCAGCCCTGCGCCCCTCGGTACACGGACACTCCTGGGAGACAGAGCAGTCCCTGTTTCACCCACCTCGTTCCCAAAGCTCCACCCAGGGGCGGGCAGTGACTCCCACCCCTGCACACACAGGGCTGTCCCACGTCTGTCACAGCCCTGGCACAGCCGTGCCCTGCACTGCAGCCTACCTTTGATGCCCCTGTCCATCTTCATCAGGCGCCTGACGATGGTCTCTCTGTTGTCCCCTTGCCTGATGTCCATTTTGGTGGAGAAGTGGCCGTTGCAGGGCTGAGGGTTCACCAGGAACACGGACACGCCAGGCTGTGAGACACAACACAGACCTTAGAGCAGAACGTGCTCGTGATCCCTCAGCAGAAACATGCAACTACACCAAATAAACATCTGCTGGTCATGCATCTTCCAGAGGGACCAAATCCCTTTAGAACCTGCCTGCCCATGCTGGACACCAGCACTGCCCCAACTCTAAAATGCAGCCCAAAGTGTAACAATTGTTTAAGACATCTTTAGGGAATGACATTTTTACTTTGCAAGTAGAAATATTCATACATGATAAACATTCATGTCTGATCAAAGTTTTTAAATGGCATATTTTAAAAAACCCAGACAAAAGTAAAGTTTCAATTTAAGTTTTTTAATTAAGTTTTCAGATTTTCAATACCTGAATTTCTGATTTTACCTCAGTTCTGAATACAGAAAATGGTTTTCCAGGACAGCACTCTTCTTTGATTTTATCTTCTGCTTCAGAAGCAAACTTCACCTCAATGTGATCCAGCTGTAAAAGAAAAAATCGGGGAGGAGGGAATAAGCAGGAGTTTATTGGCTTTAGAGGGAGCAGCAGAGGCTACAGCCCCATCAAACAGCTGCTGCTCCAGCCATCCCATAAATGCCAAGTAGTAGGTGCCAAGTCTGTACCAACCTCCAGGGAATTTGTCAAATAGACAATGTTCTCCATGAGCACTGCACGCTCATCAAACTCCAGCTCGAGATCAAGAACACGAGAACCATTTTTCTCCAAGTTTTCCTGTAGGAGGGAGGGAAAAAGTATTAAAACCCTCCAAAGGCTGCAAGCAAAATGATGCTTCAAAATGGCAAACTATCCACATTAGTCATGAAAAGAACAGGCTTGTAAATCCAAGAGCTCTCTGCTGGCACAACATTAACACTGGAGCAATAATTTTCTTGTAACAGGGCTGCTTCTTCTACAGGGAGCTGGTGACACTGATGGGAGGAGTATGAGCAATTAGAACACATTTTTAATATAGGACTGAAAAGGTGTTTGACATTCACAGTTATTTAAATCCCTACTTAATGTGCAGGTTGAGAATTCACAAAATCAGTCAGCATTTCAGTGGTATTTCACAGCAGGAAGCTCAGGCTTATGACCCAGTTTAAAATAAAGGACGAGCCCACAACACCTGGACGTGCTCGCAGCGAGTTCTCTGCAGGGAAATAACAACCACTTTGTACGTTAACATAAAAGTAACTTAATTAGTCCAGAAAGCCAGCAGCAACAGTCACAAGAGACACAGTATTAAAGGCAGTATAAAAACCACACGATTTTTTTTTTTTTTTAACTAAAACAGAACTTCCTCTTTGGAGTTTAATCTGTCCCTGCCTGGCTCTCACATGCTGAGCCAGCTGTCTCCTTTGAAGCTCTGCTTTGTCAGCCTCAGCATGGTTGTGGTTTCCTGGTTTCCTCATCAGTTTAATGTGAAAGATTCCCTTTTAACATGGAACTGCTTCCCTTTGTAAATCACAGAGGTGCTCCTATATTTCAGCCCTGCTCTGATGAGTAGGAAGCACAAGCTGAGGTGCTCCTTGTACCCTGGAATTGATGAATAATTGGCTTCAGAGAAAGACACTGCTCAGGGGAGTCTGAGCTCAGGTGTTTCCATGTCTCTGTGGGAAATAGGCTGCTGCTCTTTGGAAGCAAAAAGATGGATTTCAGGTAAGCCTCAGCTCCTTCCCCACTTGCCCTGGGATCACTCACTGCTGCCAGACTAAAGACACCAAAACACAGCAAGGTTTCAGCCCTAACTCTGGGGACTGAGAGCTTGTCTGACCTTTCCCAGCTGCATCAGTGGATCTAACACATCCCACTGTTCTTACAAACTCACACAGGAAGCTCCAGAACTGCTCTGTGCTCTCTGCTCCTCTGAAGATTTCCAAGCTCCCATGAAAAGGAACAATCAGAACAACCCCACAGAGAGAGCAAAGAACAATTACACTCCTCATGACAAAGCTTACAAAGAGAAGTAATTATTACGTGCATTTCAAAAATCAAGCTAAAGCTTAAGGACAAAAAGAGTTTTTTTTACACTCATTAAGATTTTTTTCCATTACTAATCCCTCTCAATTTCTACAGATCATGAAAAGTCATTAAAAAGGTTTTAAATCATACACAGCAACCCCCACTCTCATTTTTTAAAAAAATTTGTTAATTCTTTGCTTCTTGGCTCTCCCTAGTTGTTGTATTGAATTTTCATCTGCAACAGCAAGCAAAAGAAAGTTTCTTTAAAGAAATGGAAGCCAAGATTTTCATAGGCTTGCACGACTCAGGGAAAATAATGGATTATCAGCATATTAAGTGATAAACATAAGAATTACACACAAAATTCATAATTCCATTCAAGGCTCAGAACAGTCTGTTGTTTCCTCCCTTACACATACTGCAATCAATCAACTCTTGGCCTTATTCTCAGCTTCCAGTTTCTGTGTCTCCAAAGCAACACTTGACTCATTTCAGCATGAAAAACTGGAGAAGTCAAACAGGATAAATTTCAAATACAGAGGGATCCAGGCATGTTTGGAGTACAGGTTGCATCACCCACAAAGCACAGAAAGCACCAAGCCTCAACCAGATCCAGAGCTCACCTGGGCTAATTCACACAGAGACATTTTTATTATGCAGCTCTTCTGGAGATGTAGAAGATGTTTATAAACAAACCCTGGAAGATGACAAATAAGCACAGGGCAAGGGGAAGACACTGCAACCACAACAGCCTTTCCTGTAGCAGAATTGCCCCTCTGACACCTACCTTAACCATGGCAACAAAAGGCATCACCTTCTTCATATACTTCTTCAGCTCTGGCAAGGTGTTCAGCTCACTGGCAATTACTTTATTATCTGGCAGCTGACCTCCACTGCCCTAAAACAGGGATGAACAAACATTAAGGAGAGCAGCTGTCATGAAAAACTTGCCTTTCAATATCATGTACCTTTCCTGCTTTCCCATAAATACCAGCAAGGTTTGTCAGCAACATTGATTCCACAGATAGTTTTCTCATCATTCTGAAACCCAAACAGCATTTAACACTAATACAGAAAAAAAGCCTATACAATGCCCAAAGGTGAAAATACCCCCAAGAACAAATCCCACACGAGGAATGTTGGTTTATCTCATTGCCACAACTGGAATAGTCAGGACTCCTGAATCTATCAGCTACAACCCTGGTGTGTTCAAGCTGAGGATGGTCCATTGGGATCCCAAAAGCCACTCTCAGCAGTTTCCCCATGTCAGAAACATAATCCTTCTGTTTTCTTAATATATTTCTTCTTATACTGACTTATTCCAGCTATTTCTTGTGACACTGCTGAGTGGTTTACACTTACTCAAGGACTAGAACAAAGCTTCTAAGCCCACTTGCAGAGTAAGGCAGCAGTAGTCTGTCAGTCAACCATGTTTCCTCAAAAATGTGCTTGTAAAGAATATTTAAAAGCTAACCACTTACAATTGGAAGAAACAACAGAGCACAGGCATGCTTTTTACTCAGATTGTCAAAACCAATAAAATGCAACTGTCAAACCAATGACAGTCCTTGGGACATTTTCATTAAGCATCAAAACTTACTGGACAGTTGTAAAAGCATGAAGAAAAATGAATCTACTGAAATAATTTGGTAACAAGGTGCAGCTTATAAACTTTGTACAGATGAGCCCCCAAACAGCTGGCAAGCAGCTGGAGGGCAGAGGAGGGGAGGAGCACCTGGAAGTGCTTGCGCAGGACGGACAGCGTGGTGTGCTGCCAGGGTGGGTAGCTCTTTGCCACGTAGATGGTACAGTGGGAAGGCTTCTGGGAAGGCTCTTTTGCACTTTTCTGAGGAAATAGAAAACAATCAGGAAGGGGTCCCTAGGCAATAGAGAATTTCCACGCGCACACAAGCAGCAGCCTCACCTTTCCCTTGGCAGGGGCCATGTAGCTCTTGAGGCGCAGGCGGAGCTCGTGGGCGGCCTCCATCAGGTACTGAGAGGAGCGGATCAGCACCTCGTCCACGGGCCCTGCTGCTGGCCACGAGGCCCTCATGATGGACTCAGCCTTGGGGCAGAGCACACAGCAATGCACTGAGGGAACACACCCTGGCTGCTGGCTCCCAGCCAGTACAGCTCCATTGCAAAAGAGTTCAGCCAGTGTGGACTCAGTGAGCACCCACCCATAACACCCCAAAGGAGGGGGCACACAGACAACAAGCACTGCCAGTGTGTTCAGGACTATACACACAATCACAACTACCACACGCCTAGGGAATGCCACCTACAAGCAGAGGGCTTAAAAAACATCAAAACTAAGCTTTATGCAGAAGTGTAAGCCTATTGCATTGTTACACTAAATTTTAGACCTCCTTGTAAGCAGACAATGATAGTGACTGTTATTAATGTTGCACACATCATCACAGCAACAGGCCAGCTCCCTGCAGTCACTGTCCCAGGGACAATGAGCCAGTATGACTTCTTGTGTTCTGACATATCCTTTCTACTTGTACACAAATATCTGTGAGCCTGACATGGTGTTCCTGAAATCCATAGAAGCTCAGATGTGAATCAATGGCAGAACTGAAACGCCAGTACCTTCCCCAGCAGGGCCCAGATGTGCTCGCACAGGTGGGGGCAGATGGGAGCCAGCAGCAGAGTCTGCACCTCGATGAACTGGAACACCAGCTCCCTGTGCATGCCCTCGATGGCCAGCTCCCGGTACTTGTCCTTGGCTGCCTGCAACAACAGCACAGCCTTCAGCCCTCTGCTGCAGGGACACACACACACACGCCTGCAGGCTCCAGCATGCCTTCAGAACGTCAGCAGCTTGTCATAATCCATTATTGAGTTCTAGGAACTGTACTTTCCTGAAGCACCCACATGTGACTCTGCCAGTCAGCCATTGGATTTTTGCATTTATGTGGTACTTTAAAAAACTGCTTATTGGCACAAACATAAAAGACAAAAACATCCACAGCTGTGTATCAGGTGCTGTCATCCCAAACAACTTACATACTAATAAGAACTAAGAAAAAGGCAATGAATATGATCTATCATTACACATAATTCAGCCTATTTAACCCTACTCCTGAGTATCTCAAAGCAGCCACATGAAGGAGTGTGTGTAATTCATTAAATGGAGCAGCATGGCTCTGCAGACACTCTGGAGACGTGGTTTATGGAGGATATCAAAAAGCACTATGCTTCCAAACAATTTTGTTGATGCTTTTTCTGGCTTTCTTATGAAGAGTCCTTTATCAGGAAATATATAAAGGCAACACTATTTTTAATAGTGTCTTTTTCAAAGCAGCTTCTTGCTCATATTAGATATCAGGACTATTTTGCGGAATTGCATTTGCTTTCCTCTGCACCTTTGTAAACTGACACAAGCAAACCCCTACGATTCCACATTTATTCCCTTGAAGTTCTCTTGTCTCTTGACACAATTCTGATTCCAATTCAGCTGTATGATTAAGGACCAGAGTAAGAAGGATTAAAAGAAATCCACTAAGTGACAAATACCAGGTGTCATTTTCTTACATCTCCTACCTGAAACTCAAAGAAGCCAGTTTTCAGAGCTTCCTTAAACATCATCTTCTCATAATTTTGGTCTGTCTTCATTATGCCTGCATTCATCTCACTGGGGAGGGAAGTGACAACATCAATACAGCACAGTCTGTGTAAAACCGTCACCAATGCAGCCAAACCCCATAACCCATTCAGGAATGAGCTCTGTTTTATGAAATTCATTAATTTTGAGAAAAAATAACTACAGGATTCCTCCTTGCAAGGAAAAACCTGGTCCAAACAGTACTATTAAGCTTCATACCACACCTGGCAAAGACTCTGTCATTGAAGGTGCTGGCTGGGCCACTCCTCAAGCTGTCTCTGTTTGCAATCATCTCCTTCACCCACTCCACCCATGTGTAGAGACGAAGAATACCAGCATCTGCCATGGCTTCCACAAAGTTGGCATCTTCAACAGTGTCTCCAGCATCAGCCAAGGCCAAACGCATGCCTGAAGAACAGGGGATCAGCTGCCAGGGCTGGGTGCCACCAGCTGGCCGATACCCATGGAGTGCTGTGCTGTGCTGTGCCTCCTGCCCCTGTGACAGCTCCCTTCAGCTGGTTAACAATTGCAAAGCCAGGTCACAAACTGCCTGGCCAGCCAGAGATGCCCCAAAGGAGGCCCTTCCCCTGGGAGAGGGACACTGCCCTCCTTGGGATGGGACCAGGCAGACACCAGAAGCAGGAGCCCAGCACGGTCCCTGCCCAGAACACAGGGGCATGGCAGCAGCATGGCCCACATGGATGCACAGGGCACAGATATGCACACAGCCCATGCACACCAACAGCACGGCCTGTGCTCTGACCCCCCAGTGAATGCAGAGAGCTCAGCCCCAGGAGCAGCTCCTGGCTGAACCAGGTGTGCTAACACACATCCCAGTCTTCCATGTGGAGTTCAGCTTTTCCACAAGAACAGGTGGCAAGTGGCAGATTTATTGCCATTCAATACTCCAATAAACTCCCTTGAGAGCAAAACACTAATTTTAGTCATTTTGGCATAATTGACAATCAGATGCAGGTCAGAACGCACTCACCATCTGCAGAAAACTTGTCAACAGCTTGAGTGAGGGTGAGGAAGTTGCCTGTCGATTTAGACATCTGAAAGAAAGATAAGAGTGTTTGTTTTCTCACACATCCCCTGTGTTGGTGGATAAGCAAGACAGACCCAGCAAGGGTTTGGGCAAACAATTTTCTCATGAATCACAGCAAAAAAGCGTTTTGGTAAATCTGAATGAGGTCTCACAGCAAAAGCAGACTGAACTCTGCATGCACTCAGCAACAAAATATAATCCCAGAAATTCCCTAAGTTAAACTTAAATATCACTTTAAAACTGGCAGCTTCAGATCACCATGTATTGATTTTTCAAGAAGAACTCCATTAGGGTTTATTTGGGGTTTTTGGATTCATACAGATAGTCCCCAAGGCCTAATTCCTGGGTTCAGGCACCTGAACTCAGTGTCAGAACTTGCACTTATTAGTGAGCTATTGCCCCAAACTTTTTCCTCTCACTGCACCTACTCCAATGCTCTAAAAATGTAAACTTCACTTAAATAAATAAATAAATGTTCTGTATTACTCGAAAACTTAACAGAAATCTTCACTGAACTTTTCACTAAATTGGTGAGCCTACACAAGAGCCGACTTAAGAGAAAGTGCTGCCTAAAATCACAGACAAGGCAGGTCTTTAATGAATGAAAAACTGGAGGGCACTAATGAAGAAATGACACTATTTCCCCTGCTTACATCCCAAGAAGAAGTTTCCAGTCTGGAAACTTCCAGTCTGGCTAGCAAATGCCTATTTTGACAACACAAAGACCTCACTGTACCTTTTCGGAATTGAGGAGCAGATGTCCATTGGCTCTCACAGCTACTGGCCATTTTTCCCTGTTCAAAGGCAAGATACAAATCTTTTGGCCAAGTAAATACATTTTCTCTTTTAAAAATAGGAACAAACATTTTATATTCCAGTTTGAGATGAATGCCTTGAGTGGAATCTTCAAAAAAAATACCTAAGGGTTGTCTTAAATATATTAAGGAGTGTCTCTGAAGATGAAAAGAACTACAGTGTAAAGGCTAAGGATTATCATTGCTGAAACACAGGGCAGGGAGCAGTGCACCTGCAATTACAGTTCATTTACATCACCCTCTTCTGTTCAGATATTTTTAATTTAAAGGCCAGTGATTGGCACTGCCCAAGAGCACACAACAGTGCGGGGTCCACATTTCTATCCATGAAGGAAAGAGATATTGAACTATCCACAATCGTCCTTACTATACACCAGAAACACATTTTTCCTATGTACAGCTTTATACAACCCCTAAACCAAAATTCTAGGGAATGCAAACAGTATCTTCACCATAAAAGCATCATGCAATGGACTCTCAACCAGTCCTGCACAGCCCATGGGAGTATACATGGCTCTTTTAACATCCTTGAGAAGGAATTAAGGAGACTTAATAATAATGCCAAATGAATTCCAGTGCAGGAATGCAACTCAACACTGGGAAATGCATAGGAGGAGATAATGCAGAAAAACCAGGGGAAATAATGGTAGAAAAACCTTCTATTTCAATCACTTCTGTTATATAAGTGTATAATAATAATGGTAAAAAACCTTTCCATTTAATAACTTTTGCTATAGACAACTGTATTAAAGCTGCAATATGAAAGAATACATTTTCAACACAATTCTAAATGTTGTAGAGTCCAAAGGCCATTAGCAAATGTAACAGAACTGCAAAGTCTCCAGCCTTACCTGCCTCACATCCCAACTCACCTTTGCTCTGACCACATGGCCACATGATTGTAGAGGTAGTACGACAGGTGATTTGGAACAAGATCTTTGCCAGAAACTCTGAGATCCACAGGATACCAAAACTCAAACTCCTCCTTCAGCTTATCCAACTTTTCCTTTGGAATCTCAGTTTTAGGGAACGGAGCTGTCTTGAAGAAGATGTAATCCCAAACCTCTTTGGTCATTTGATGCGCCCTGCACAGAATCAGTCCCACATTGCACAGTCAGTAAAAGCTCCTCACACATTCTAGCACTTTCTGCAAGGCAGCTTAAACCTGTGGCTCCATTCTCACAGCACAGTCCACCTGAGCAGCAAACACACAGAGAGTGCCCAGGGCCTTTACCTGAGCTCAGGTGATAGCACTGTGCTATGCACAGAGGAAACACGTTCTGGACCCCAAATACTTCCAGAACACATTAAAAAACACCTCCGATGGTGATCTGTACTACCAGTCCAGAAAAAATCCTACAGGCACAGTTTTGCTGGTTTGGTTCTGGCAGTTCTTGTTCCATGCTTTAAATTCCTGTGCTGCGACTGGGCTTGTGTTTGGTGCCAAATTCATTGTAACTGAAGGTGACTGAAAGGATGGGCCATAAATCCCCTTTTCCTTCACACCACAGAGCAAGTATCAGTAAAAAGCATTTTCCAAGGCTGCTAGATGTTATCTGCTTGCATAGGAAAGCACTCTAATTGTACATGCTTAATTACATCAAATCTGTAATTCAGGGACCAGGATGCTCACTTCAAAGCTTGTTTCTAGACACGACTAGCTCGTGCATAGCTTCTCTGTAATTAGAGAGGTTTCAGCCCAAATGACAGCCTTGCCCAGTCTCAGAGGTACTTCTGTAAGAATCAGAATCTTTACTTCGGAAATGGTTTTCAGATTAGTTACAACATAAAGTAAGAAAAGTTTCCATTCCAATATGTAAACTGCTCCAGAAACTAGTCCATAAACCACAGAGAATTAGAGCAGATGATTCAAGGCACAATCTGAAGTGTTTTTTCAACTCCAGACTGAGCTGTACTGTCTCATCTCTCTGACCCCTATCACCATGCTTCAAAAGTCACTCCAACCAAGAGGCCACATGCCTCCTCCCCCTTGCTCTGAAGACTTCCACAGACAAGCTGTGGATAAAAGATGGTTCTGAGCTTCCAGGAGAGTGACAGTGACAAAAACCAAGAGCTAAATCCTACTCCCTCTGTACACTGGAGCTTCCAATTGTGGCGCACAGCAGTCTCAGCAAGCAGACACCCAAGCAGCCAATCACCCAAAAACCTGCCAAGGCCCATTTCAAGGCAAGTCAAACAAGCATAGAAAAAGGTGATTTACTCTCCACACAGTTCTTTCAGAAGTGCTTTCAGAAGCATTTTTCCACTCTCTCTTCCTCTCACTGTCTGTCAAACTCCTCTCTTTCCTTACTGCCTCTCTCCAAACCTGCTCTAACTCAGCTCATGGCAGGTTAAGTTTAATAAAGACACTTTTCACACACAAAAGCAAAGACTCAGCCTCCTTGCAAGTCTTTCTGCAGAGCAATTCAGGAGATAAGCATACCTAATTAAACAAGAGAACTTAGTGGTTCACTCTCCTTACCTGATGCCCAGAGGAGACTCTCCTTGGCCCCTGAGGTTCCCCCCCTGCAGCAGGTGAGCCACGGTGTAATAGGCCATGTAGATGGTGGAGTCAGAGAGAGACTCAATCAGCCACTGCTCATCCCAGGGTAAGTGGGTCCCTGCAGGGGAAGGCTGTGTCAGGCACCCAGCACCACCCTGATCCCCACAGACACACAGCAGTGATGGTGATTGTCAGTGGAACACATGAACATACATACACACACCAGGGGAAGGCTGCCAGGCACCCAGCACCACCCTGAACCACACACAGCAGTGATGGTGATTGTCAGTGGAACACATGAACATACATACATACATCAGGGGAAGGCTGTCAGGCACCCAGCACCACCCTGAACCACACACAGCAGTGATGGTGACATAAACATCCATATATATCTCAGGGGAAGGCTGTGTCAGACACCCAGCTCCACCCTGATCCCCGCACACAGCAGCTGATGATGATTTCCCATGGAACACATACACACACATTAGCACATACACTAGCACTCATGCTAATGGGTTTAAAAAATATTTGGTTTAAAAATTAAACTATGCATTTGAAAATTTTACTCAAGGGCAAACAGTTGCTGATTTTCAATCTATTTCCTGACACAGCTCAGCTCAAGAACATCTGCTGTGGGTTACAGTGCACACTTAGCAGCTGGCCCATGTCAGGCTACACAAGATAAAGGCTAATCAGGATTCAAGGAGAAAACTCAAGAAATGGTATAAGCTCCCTCTTCTGAGGTCCCTTCCAAATCAATGGCCCAGACAGAAAGCTACCAAGATGCTACAAAGACTACCTGTAGTAGTGCAAACATTACCAGCCCCATGCAATTCCAACAAAGCACACCTTCTCTGGGATGCTGGGCCAAGATACCAGTTGGACAATGTTGCTTCCACAGTTCCCTGTATCACTGGGGATGTTATATAGCACTTAAGCCTTCCAAATGAAACGAGGAGTACCACCCTTACAAAGAACCAGCCGAGAAAGGAATGTTTTACCTACCTAAGCCATATGTCCTGGAGCACGCATGCTCTTGTAGCCAACCTAAGGTAGCTTCAAAATTTCTCCTAGTCTCTTCACAGAACCTGTAAGAAAGAAGCTCTTACTGCCTTCAGCCATCTCAGACCCCCAAGAGCAGCAAAGTCACTCTCCTTTACAGGCACATTCATAACTCACGTCTCCAGATGTTGCAAGCACTCTGACGTCTGTTTCTTCCAGCTTGCTTCACCATAATCTAAATACCTACAGTCAGGAGAGGTTTATTGTAATAAAGCAATGGTGTACAATTGGAGCAACTTGGTAACTGCAGCTTTGTTTCACTCACCACTGGTCACAAAGGGCCACAACACACTCATCAGCAGATCTCGATATGACCTGTTTCTCAGGCTCCATATAAATCATGGCTTCACCCTAAGATTGAAAGGGCAATGGAAGCTGAGATTTAAGGACTTACCAAAGTACTGAAAATCCTGACAACTTACTAAAAAGCATCCCCTCCATTCTAATTTGGTTCATAGCATTTACTGCACAGCTCTCACCACTGCCCAAGCTCTCTGCCTCAGTATTCCCTCTGGTAAAAGACAAGGCTTTACTCTGTAACTTCACTAAGGTACCGGCTCACAGCACTTTGCACAAAATGCATGAGGAAAAGGAGGACATAAGCACAAAATATTCCCCACCAACTATGCCCCCTGACTGAAACAGCTCCTAGGAAATTCTGGAGGACAGAGGGAGGGGGAAAGGCAAAGGAAAATGGGATGCTGTGCTTCAAATCTACTGCACACATCATGCGTGCTGGTGCATTATTATCTGGACATAACAATGCCACAACAACAAGGGAATGATGACTAAATGCCTGAAGCCTCCTCTCACTCCCAATCCTCATCAGGGAGTCTCATTAGAGGGATGCCACGGTCATTGTTTGTTCACTGCTGTTTTCTGAACCAGGAGCCCAGCAAGGGGGCATTTGCACAAACATGTCTCCTTCACTGGCTTGACAGACACTTGACAGCCCAGGTCCTACACTGAAGCATCCTCCCAGCTACGCTAAAGAATTAATTGGACCACCAGAACATGTCCTGGGGAGGGTGACAGAATAAGGCAGGGAACAAGGGAATTCTAATGAAGCTGCTCAGCCCACTCAGCCCAAGAACACCCGGTCCCTCTCTCTGCAGTGACCCAAAGCACCCTGAGGGCTGCAGAACCACACCAGGGGTTCCTCTGGTGACTCAGCCCTGTGAAAAGGACAAAGCAGACAGTTCAGAAGCAGCTGGGTGCACACTGCCACTTACCTTATCCAACATCAGCTTCTGAATCTGTTTCTTGACATCTTGAACTTTTTGTCCTTTGAATTCATCCACCAACATCACCTGCAAAGATGGGTCACAGGAGATTTTTTTAATCAAAATTTAGCAAGAAATAGGTGCCATAGGTATTCATATCAATATAAGGAAGTAGCATGTGCTGCAATCTTTGACATGCAAAAAATAAGAGTACAGGTACTAGGTTTTTTTCATTATGTGCAGTCATCTTTACCCAAAAACAGTTTGTACACATGTCAGCATCCACACAGATGACAGACTGCAAAGAGTCAGAAATAAAAACTATTGCTTGCTTACAAAAGAACTGAGAAATACACATGGTAAGCTACTGAGGTAAAGACAGGAGAAAAAAGAAAGAAAAACAAAACAAACAAAAAAAAAACTCAAAAAATAAAACAAAAAATAAAACAAAAAAAAACCAAAAAAAAACCAACCCCAAAACAAACCAAAAAACCTGCAAATAATAACACTTTCTCATTGCATATCAGTTTCCCTATCTATACTGGCAACAAAATGGATCAGCTCCCCAGCAGGTGATCACTTGTTCAGAAACCAGGTTATAATGCTCAGAAAACACAGCAATGTGTGAGTGCAAACTTTCTCCAATTCTACATCACTCCCTCAGCTGCAGAACCCTACTGCAGGAAGAGTCACAAGGAAAAGTCCTTTGGGACTTTTTTGGGAAAACAGGACACTGTCCCTCCTTCTTGAGATTTTTTTTTTTTATTCTTTACCTGCCTTTTTTTTCTCCTAGTTGAACTCACCAAGAAAACACTTACCAAAATCTTGTATTACTTACTCCCTCATAGAATCCTTTCAGGTACACTCTCTCCTTGGCCTCTGCAAGCTTCTCTCTCTCATTCTGGCTCTGGATTTTGAGCTCATCACAGACAAATGGAGCACAAAGGCTGCCATAGCCTGGGATTTCAATGATGGGCACCTGAGAATTAACAGAGGGCTGTCAAACCTCTCCTGCACCCCAGTACTCACTCCATACATTCACAGCATCCAACACAAGTTACACAGGGCTTACAACAGATGGCTGCAATTGCACTCATGGCCCAGAAGTTCTGGCAGCCCCAGTGTGACCCCTGAGCTGCCCAGGTGTGCCCCATGCCAGGGCACCACACAGAGCTGTGCCAGGACTGCAGCTGGCCCTTGGAACCAAGGGTATGCAGAATTCTGGGATGGCTGTACCTGTAACCTGCATTTCCTAATGAAAACTGCCTCTGCCTCGAGGCTGTGCTAACAGTGAGGGACTTCAGCTTTTTGCACTGAGCAGATACCCTCCTCATCTGACCATGAGTGCATGAAGTTTTCATCAGCCAGCAGGTTACCAAGATAATGATGCATTCCATTTCCCAAAACAGTAACTCCTATAAAAATTGATACTTTCCTTTCTCTCTGAAATATAGCATAGAACAACAAATCTTGGTTGCAATCCTTAACAGACCAAATGTTGCAACTACAGGAAAGGATGAAAACTTTACGTTTTTCAGCTTTCAGCTGAGAAGGACTTTAAACAGAAACTCTGGAAGGGTTAGCACAGCTCCTGGTTTGTTTCTTATCAGTGAACGTAACATCCTGTGTGCTGTAGATGGACACATCTGGGTGCACTCACCGGCTCAAAGGGCAGGACCATTTCATCTCTGATGCCATACTTCACCCTCAGAGCCTTGAAAGTTGGAAGAAAAAAAGCAACAGACAGAAGTCTTCTAGATGCAAAGGTTTTTATCCACTCGTAGTGTTGTTTTTTTTTACATAATGCTTTATTACAAATCAGACAAAGCCACTTCCCTGCCTTCTCACCATTTCTGACACCTGAGCTCAATCCTCATCTCATTTCCAGGTGATTCCTTGCCAAATCATCTACATTTTTTAAAAGGGGAAAAATTGATATTGCTCTACCCTGAAATGAGTGGGCAAAAATTCAGTAGCCAGGGATAGCTGTTCAGATGCTGAGGTACTCCTACAGTTAGTAACAATCACTTTCAATCTCAATTTGAAATTGATAGAGAATCTTAATCTCATTTTTGGAAGTCATTTCCACAACAGGAATTCATTTCTGTTTCCCTGGTGCTCTTCTGTACCTTAACATGCAGCACAAGTTACATGATTCTCATTCAAAACTCAGACCTGAAGTCTGAAGAAAACCCCATCTGTCCTAGCCCAGGTTTAAACATCATTTATTTTTAACTGCTTTGATTTCAAGTTAGAGACAATAAAATGCCAATTAAAGCAAGTTTCATTTTTGTGACTGGATATTCACTTTTGACCCTTTTCACTAGGGAAAGGAAACAGAAACAATTCAGCTAACAGACTGACCTGCTTCTTTTTCAAGTCTCTCAGTGCTGCAAAGTCATCTGGAGAGTCAGAGGGAACACTTGTCACCACTCCAGTTCCTGGGCAAAGATAAACAGATGAAAGGATCAGTCCCCACACACTGAATGTCAGTGCCCATCCAACAGGCTCTGCTGCAGAATTACCTTTATCCTCCTTGATGGTGAGCATGGGCAGGGCATATATGACCTTGTAGGTGCTGAGGGGTGCTGAAAGTGCAGCACCCAGAATCTCCTGAGCAGGACAAAGGAACAGCATTACAGTAAATCAGGGGCTTTCAGCCTAGTAGAGTAAGCTCTCCTGGATAATATTCTTCCAATTTTCTGTACATTTTCCTGACACATTACAAACAAACTAAATACATTTTATATACAGATGGACAAGGAGGAAGTACATATGAAAATATGTAGTACTATTTGAGACAGGATATAGGTTATATAATGGTAGGAAAGTCAAATACCAAGAAACTTAAACTACAAGTATGTAGAATTGGAAAAGCATAGGAAGCAGGAGGACAGTTTGCTTCCAGGTATCTGAAGCACAACAGCACTGAGGCAGAAGTGGCTTAGGAAGCCAGTGTCAAAAGTGACATTAAACAAAGAAAGCATATTGTCAAGATAGTCACACACTGACAGGAGGCAGTCAAGATGTAGCAGTCATCTTCTACCTCACTAATTTGCTTGAATTCACATCATGTCTACTAACAAAGGAAAAAAACATGTATTTTCTTCTTCATTCTTCAAGGCAAGATCAAGAAATATGGTGACAAGTTGTAGTGAATGGAGATCAAGGGATGCAAACACTGAAGGTGCTTTGTATCAGGATGAATGAACACCACTGATGACACTTGCACAAAGAACACAAGTTAAGGACAGCAAACCCCAAAATCACTGACATTCACTACTCAGCTAAGAAAGCTTCATTCACACAGATGTACTGGAAATGTCAGTACCAACAAAAGCCTTTTCCACATAACCCTTTCTAGCTATTGCTATTCCCCCTCCCTCTCCATTTAATCTTCCCAGCAAGCACAAAAGCTATCCTTAACACTATCCTGTCAGCACATCATGCTGAGGGAACAGGAATGCATCTGTCCCCAGCTACGTGCACCAGGTTATTCTCCCAGCAGCAGCTCTGGCTTAGCCGCAAGGCAGCAGCCTGCTGCTTGCACCGTTTGTCACTAAAGATTTAGTCACTCCAAAGTTTCTGCAATCCCTGCTGTATTTCCTTTCCCATTAGAACGGCACCACGGCCCTGTAAGGCGCAGAGGGGCAGCAGAGGCAGGCCTGCAGCTGCAGGGAGCTCACCTCTCCCATGAGCTCCTTGACCACGGGCAGCACGCCGCTGTCGCGGGTGAAGCCCTGGTAGGACATGTTGTGCGCGGCGCGCTGCGTGCAGATGAAGATGTCCCCGCCGCCCGTCTCAAAGCCGATGTACTTCATGTCTGGGCGCAGCCAGCAGTTGGTCTGCCCAAACATGGTCTCTGGCCTCAGCGTGGCAGCCACCAGGAAGATGTTCTTCCCTCTCAAGCCACTGGGGGGAAAAGGTACTGGGTAAGTTACCAAAATAAAACCATCATGGCTCTTACAGAACAGGCTTTTACACTAACATCAACTTCCAAGCAACGTTTCCTAAGAGACAGAAGTGGGTCATTAGTTCATTGTGGGTTTTCCTTTTTTTTTTTCCTTTTCTTTTATTTTTTTAAATTCCTCCTTGAGGTCCACACAGACACAGCAAATAGAGCTGGTCAAAATTCTGACCAGGTCTTTGAAGTGATGGAAATAACCAGGTAAAATTAAATTCTGCATTAGTGTTTAATTCAATGGTCAGTTCTGGCCAGGAGATAGAGCCCATCTGCCACTAGAAAGTCAAGACTTACCTCAATTTCGCAGGGTAAGGATCCAACACCTTCATTTTTATCAGCGTGTATTCTTGAGGCCCAACACCCTAAAAGACCCACAGAAAATGAATTCCACAATTAATAAGTGAAACTCACTTGAGCACGAAAGAAAACAAATCCTGTAGGAGCCTAATCCAAACACTATTTAAGGTACTGATGCTTTCCTCAGAGTAAATCCTATTTCCATAAATATGAAAGGCTGTTCACTAAAATGCAGACTGCAGAGAGGTTATACTGTGCTCCTACAGCCAAAAACTTACTAGTCCCAGACACTGTCTCAGCAACATCTAAGTTAACAACAGCTTGTCTATTTAGTTTCAACAGATAACACAATGGAGTAATGCTGCTGGCACAGATTGCCAAACAATCACAGATACCAGCTACAATGTAAAATACTATCCACAGTTCCAGACTAAATCTGCTCAAGAGAGTTCATTCAATTTTCACATGCACTGACAGCTGAGAGCCAGTGACTGTACACATCCAAACTATGTTTTGCTGTAAGACATAACTTACATTCCATTTAGTATTTAAGATCATAAGCAATGCATGAAAATGTGAAGTTAAAACATTACCTCTCCTGTTTGCCTGTCATGATCCATGCAAGGCTGTCCATCTTTAGGAGAATAAATTGTATATCTAGAAAAAGATTTTCATTTAGCAGTGAGTAAAATAGTGTATAGAGCAAGAAAAAAGTATAGCTCTCTGGGAAAAAAAGACCTCTTAATGGCATTTTCAAATTTTGTTCGGATCTGTTTCCATCAGTGCTAATGTTCAGTTTTCACAAGAGCTTTCAGAATTGACTGGTTTTTGTTTGGAGTTGGTACCCAAGGGAAAACTAAACCTGGAAGACAAATCTCACATGCTTTGCTAGCACAACTGCACTTCACTGCATCAGCAGAGCACCAGCAAGGAACGATTTTGGTTTCTGGTGAGTTACAAGCACACTCTAGAGACGTGTCACAGGGCTTTGTCTCTGGCACAGCTGAGCTTATCCACTCTCCCAAAAACTCAGAGCTGAGTGGCAGCTTACCGTTTGCCAAACTTAATCTTATTTCTTTCCTTTAGAGTAAGGAATTGCCATCGCACAAAGGAATCATAGTAGGGATTGACATCTGTTGTAATGAAGGAACGCCTCCAGTCCACCTGAAAATGGGCAAGAGGCTCCAGTAAGTAAGCACAATCAAGAAATCAGAGGAATCTCATAATACCATAACTATTACCTTAAAAAGAGCTTTCTCTCCAAAACGACAATGCAAGCACATATCCCATAAAGGGTGTAAGCTCAAATACACATCTGTGCCTGCTCTCTGAGCAGAGATGTCAGACTTGAGGTCCCTCCACTAACTGAGAAATTCAGAGGTTTTGTAGTAGTTTAAACCAGCCATTCGAGCTGCATTTCAGCACTGCCTTGTTTCATCACCTTTATTTCTCTCCATTTACAAAAATCTGTTGTCAGCAGGACGAGTACTTTTAGGAAGAAGAATGCTGAGATGTCAAATAGAACTACTGTCAATACTAACTACTGATAAGTTAGCTCACATGGGAGCCATAAGTCACAATGTCTTTATTGGACTCATTTCCAGCTGTGACCACTGTACAGGGTACAAGCTCTATATAAGAAAGCAATTAATTATCACCCAAGACCATTTAATGTTAAATGTCTAATTCCATAGATATCAGAAACATTCTGGGAATTATGCTGGTATTGCTCAGAAAATCTTAAGGAGAAGCAGCACATTCACCAGCATAGTGACAATACAGGTATGGCTGCCTGCCTAACTGAGGTTGGGATCACCCAGAGTCACCTTCAATCCCATGCTCTTCAGATCCTGGACAGCAAGGGGAGGGAAATAATCCAGCCAGTGCTCAGCTTCAGAAAAACTGACCACTTCTTCATCAGACAGACCTAAAGACTTCATGATTCCCCACTGGTATTTGGAAGAGCCAGTCTTGGCAGCAGCCTTGCTCTGCAAGAACAATTGGGATTAGGAAGAAGCCCCCAGTCTTGTCACAAGAGCATTTGCCTCTGTTAATGTTATGGTTTCTGATTCCAGATACACAAGTTAATACAAATATTCTCGCATCCTCCCTCTAACAGTGAGAGTAATTGATTAGTTTCCATTCTACACCCTGTATTTACAGGGTTTCCATTCTACCATACCTTGTGTTCACAGTTCATTCTCTAACCCTTCTCTTCCCAACTGCCCCATGCCAATGCCCAAAACACCTGCAGAGGCTCTGCCACAACAACCTGGCAAGGAATTGCCTGTTGTCGAGGCCCTGCTCAAACCCATGGGTTTTTGCACCATGGAAAGGTGGACAGCCCTGCACCCCTGTACCAAAAGCCTTTGCTGCTGTCACTTTGCTCACTGTGCTTTTCCCAGCTGCTGTCCCTTGAGAATCTCCTGTCTCTCCCCAGCAGTGACCCAGGCAAGGCGACACCGTCTCTCCTCCAGAGCAGCCACAACCCCAAACCCAGCAGCTCCAATGGGACAATCTCTTGAGCATACATAAACAACACACAGTGCATCTCTAAGAGTCTTTTCCCAGACTTGATTATTTGCTTTGCGTTGGAATACTCCCAAAATCCTAAATCTCATTTAAAAACCTGGTAAGTGAAAATAGTTTGGACGATTTTACTGAGCCTATCTAGACAGAACAGGTTAGACACCAACTTAAAAAACAATAACAAGAACAGCAGGAATACACATGCTTTACCTCTGAGAAAGAAGGGCTAATTCCTACAACCTGCTTAGGAATGTTCCATGAATGGATTAAAAAAAAAAAGAAAACAAATGAGAGTATTACTCTGCATCTGATCTGTTCTTTCTCAGAAAACTAACAGGCAGCGCATTAGCTTACCAATAAGGGTCCATGCATTAACATGGTATCTCTGGAACCATGCAGCTAATGCATTTTTTCAAGTCCACCCTAAAGCTAACTCAGCTACCTTGGAAAAAACAAAAAAAATCTTTGTATTGAGGTTTCTGTAAGCCCAAAGGAGGAAAAACGTACAATGTGCACACCGAAATTTTGACAGCACAGCTCTCAGTCCAAGAAGGTTTGGTTTAAACTTTACCTTTTTGCCTTTTGCTTTGTCTTTGATGATAATTTCTTCCTCTTTTTTACCAGAATTTTCTTCCTCTTCCTCCTCCTCATCAGGAAATTCCGGTGGGCAACCATACAACTCCATTTCTCTTTTCAGCTTATCTGCACAAGCCTGAACAGAGTTATTGGGAGTGTGTCAGCCAGGGCACCAGCTGCATCCACAGCCAAGGAGTGGGTTTTACTGATAACATGTTGCATTCCACACTTTAAACTTTTTTTGGACCTTGCATTAAGATCTAGGAGATCGTGCCACTTCCATAACACCTTCCAGGGCAGGAAGAGGTTTACTGTAAGGATTTTCTTGCCAAGGAAAACATACAACAGGTAAAATTCAGTTTTCCAACAGAGTCTTTTTTACAGTGATGTTATATCTCAAGCACAACACAGGCTTATTACAAATTCAGGTTCCAAAATACACTGTTTTGGTGAGTTTTTAAATAAACTAAGGTGCTGTTGGGGATGGACAGTAAGCAAGGCCCCGAGCAGCCTCAGGGATAAAAACCCCATCAGAAACAACCCCCCAGCAACTGCCAAGGTCTCACCTTGATGGGCATCCCCGTGCAGTGCAGCCCAAAGGGAAACAGGCAGCTCCTCCCCTTCAGCCTCTGGTACCCGACGGCGAACTGCAGGCAGGGAAAATGGAACAGCTGAGCCAGGAACGGCCGGGCTGCGCCAGCTCCTGCTCACACACAGCTGGGACTCCTTCTGCCAGGGCAGGTGACAGAGCCAGGGCAGCCCTGGCACGGCGGGGAAGCCGAGCTTGTGCCCAGGCCTGCCCCTGCGGCTGCCCAGGCACGGGCGTGCCAGGCTTCCAGGCTGGCTGCACCAGAGACCCACGGGTGCACAGCGAGCTGCTCTGGAATCCCAGCACCCAAAACCTGCCCCCACACAGGCACAGAGTCACCCAAAACCTGCCCCCACACAGGCACAGAGTCACCCAAAACCTGCCCCCACACAGGCACAGAGTCACTCAAAACCTGCTCTCACACAGAGCACAGCAACCACGAACAAAAGGGACAGGTCTCCGGTGAAGCTTGAGCCATTTAGCAGCACCTCCTAAAAATCTCATTTCAAAGAACAAACTGGGGACACACCTGCAGCCCCATCTCATCAAATTAAAAAATACATTAATAGAATTTCACTTCAGCTAGCAATATTCCTACTGAAAATGTGGGGGAAGAGGAAAGTTGAATAAGCCATTACTAAAGCTATAAAGGAATTGACATGGCATTCTATTAGCTCAAAACTGAACTACAAAATCAGCATTTGTTCTAGAATAGTACTTAAAGGTGTCAGCAAAGGAGAATTCTTACCTCACATTTAGATAAGGAAAACGTGTGTCCCAGATGCAGGCGGCCATTCATGTAAGGGTAAGGAAAGGTAACAAAGTACTTCCCTTTGCTGAGAAGAAAGTCAAAGGATTAAAACACATAATGAGCTTTGTAAATGACCATCAGACAATACACAGCAAAACAGGCAACTGGGATGTTCAGCTATTATCAGCCCACAGTGATGTTAAAATATTTTCCTTGCCCGTAACATGAGTATTTGATTTTAAGGAGCTGATACACTAACAGGCTTTATCACCTTAAAAAATAAACACAAAAGTAAAGAACCACAGAGGACTGGCACCACACAGAAACATTGAAACAGATACAGCATGCTCCCAAAGGTAACAAATTCTAATCCTGCTTCTGCAAATTAATTACAGCAAAGGCTTAAAGTCATTTATTTAATCTCCCACGGTGTGAGCTCAGATTTTAAGGGCACACTGCAAGCAATCACTCCTTTCACAGGGATATATTGTTGCAGGGTGTTTCAAAGATGTATTACGTTGTTGGAACCCGAGCTCTCAAAGCAGCTGAGAAAATATTTACATTTAGCACACTGAATTTCTACGTCCACCTTTGTACTTCACGCTTTGTCTCTCCCCTTCACACACTCCCTCGATCCACTACCATGAAGGAATAAAGGCCAAGTCATTTGTTTGCCTGCAAAGTCTACAAGTGAAGAACCTGACACCTGTTACACCACTTCAGTTATTATCTTGGTTTAGTCTGACTTTCCCACACACCAAATATTAACCTCGTGGTGCCAAGGTCACTGCTTTTCCAGCCAGAGACCTTCCACAGGATTAATGCTGCTCCCCCACAGCCCCCCACACCTGTGAGGAGCATGGATCCCACCAATTCCAAAGGAACTGTGCTTCCAGGCACGCTGCACATTCCCAGAGGACAAACGAGTCTCTCAGGGTTTACCCTGGGGCAGAAACAAGAGCAAGAGTCCCATGGCATTCCCCAGAGTGCAGAGCACTCTCTGCACTGTGCAAGGCTCTCCCTCCCTGCAGCTCCCTCCATCCCTGCTGGGGCTGGGGCTGCAGCCAGGGGTGACTGGGGGGGCTCACCCAGGACCCTCCCCCAGCTCCACTCAAGGACAAGAGGCTGCCCCACAGCACACCCGGGGTCTGTGCAGCACTGCTGTGCCCTGTGAGGCGGAGCAGGACACACCTTCCCTCAGAGGGAAACCTCCCCAGGGGGAGGGCTCAGGCACCCACTGCGGAGCCTCCTCCATGTCAAAGGGCACAAGTCACCAAAGAGAACTGCTGTTCAGCCCACAGAGGGTACTGACACTGCCAGGCAATGAAAAAGCTTCTCTCATCCTGCTGGAACTCAGCCACACACGTACCCAGCTTTATGTCATCAGCTACAGAAATGCCAACAACGTGTGAGCAAGTCCCTTCAGCCGAGCCATGAATGCTGCTCATTACAAAGGGGCCACTTTTCCCCCCAGCAGACCTTGAATGAAAAGACATTTCAAGCAGTGACAAACCAAGTACAACCATACCTCCTCTGGTCCTTCCTGTCTGCAGCATTGACCTCAAACACTCGATCACGCTCCCACTTCTGCTGGACCTCTCTTTCAATCTTCTTCAGGAAATCCACTTTCGCTGTTCCTTTACGCTCCTGTTCAGAAGAGAAAGGAAGAGAGGTCTGGCTGAACAGGGTAAGAAATAACAGGACTGTAACTCATCACAGACCACCCTGATCTCCTTGGGCAGGGGAAGCACTGCTCCAGGTCCCTGCAGCAGCGGTGGCTCTGCCAGCCCGAGATCCAGCCCTCTGAAACTGGAGCCGAGATCTGCAAGGAAAGCACCAACAACCATTTCCCACAGCAAAGGACTCTACAGTAGCCAGGACACACACATACACGCTGGCCATCTTGCCAATAAAGAACAAACTCAGAGATCTCTGATCTGGGGAGGTAGAAGAGGATATAAATCATAGGAGAAAACTCCTACAGAACTCTGGTTTTATTCCAGACTCTCCATAAAGACATGTGGTGCATCCCCCTCTTGACGTACATAAAGTGGACACAGCACTCCCTATGCCAGGAAGAGGGCAGGTAACAGCTCTAAGTGTAGTTCACGGAGTTCTTCAGGTAAAGCATTCCAACCGATTTTCATTAAATCCGTGCTCAGTAGCCCTTCCTCTCATTCTTTTATCACATAACATATGGCAAGTATTAAAGGATATTATTCTTTCACCATATAACACACAGGAATTGCTAAAGGACACACACATTACGGACACACGCATTCTGCACTCGTAAAGGCAGAGGATGTAGTTTTTGCCCATCAAAACCAAGACACGCCTAAGACCTTTACACCACGGGGCCGCAGC